TTGTGAGCCACCATGGAGGTGCTGTGAATGGAACCCAGGTCCTCTGGAAGAGTACCCATTGCTCTTAACCACTGAGTCCTCTCTCAAGCCCCTATGTATCAGTTTAAAAACTGGTATTTTTAGCTGGGAAGTGGTGGCGCACGCCTTTAATCTCAGCACTTGGGAGGCAGAGACAGGTGGATCTCTGTGAGTTCAAGGCCAGCCTGGTCTACTGAGCGAGTTCCAGGACAGCCTCCAAAGTCACAGAGAAAGCCTGCCTTAGGTGGGGGGAACGGGGAGCAGGCACCACTACAGCTTAAACATCTTAAAAGCTATTTATTATTTTGAGGTGAGGACAGGACTTACTATGTAACACAGGCTAGCCTAAAACTCTCTATGAAGCTCAGCCTGACTTTGAACTTGCCACCCTTCTACCTCAGGCTCCAAGTGCTAATATTACAAGAGTGCACTGCCACGCCGGTCATTTTAAAACTAGATACCAGGGCTGAAGAGATGGCGCAACAATCAAAAGCATTTACTGCTCTATCACAGAGCTGGAATGCAGATCCTACCATCCTGCTCATGAATTCCCGCTCCAGGGAATCTAACATCTGTGTGTAGACTCTAAGGGCATCTACACACACGTGCACATATACACACAAACAAATACACATAAAATAAATCTTCAGAGGCTAGAGAGATTTCTCAGTGTTTACTAGTACATTCTGTTCTTTCAAAGAACCCACGGTCACTTCCCATTTCCCAAGGAAGCTTTATGACTACCTGCATCTCCAGTTCCAGGGAATATGATGTCTCTGGCCTCTGCAGGCACCTGCACTCATGTGCACATTTACATTCATACACACATACATAATCTTAAAAGAACTAAGTATTTAAAACTAGATGCCAATTAATGAGACACAGTGGCTCATGCTTCAACCTTAAACAACCCCAAACCAAAAGCAAACACAAAAGTGGATCTGCCACTATTGTTGTATGAGTGAGATTCTGTAACTATTCTGTAATTTTTTTTCAAGACAGGGTTTTTCTGTGTAACAGTACTGGCTGTCCCGGAACTCACTTTGTAGACCACTCTGGCCTCGAACTCATAGAGATCTGCCTGCCTCTGCCTCCCAAGCGCTGGGACTAAAGGCTTGTGCCACCTCTGCCCGGCAAGATTCTTTAACTATTAATAACTAGCCCACCTCAGACTAACACCAACAGAGAATTTTTCATTTGTATGCTTGGAGATTTAAATCACCCATACAGTTACAGCATCAGTAGGATCTGGCAATTCAGCAATCGCTACACACACTCAATGTCCATCTTTCCCTTAGGCTGTCTTCATACTGGTTATTCTTTTTTGTTAATGTGCACGGGTGTTTTATCCACTTACCTGCCTGGCTCCCAAAGAAGACCAAGGAGGTTGTCTGATCCCCTGGAACTGAAGGTACAAACAAGTTTCAGCCACAGCGTGGGTGTTGAGAAAGAGCAGCAAGTACTCTTAACCACCGATACATCTCTTTAGCCTCATATATTGGTTGTTCTGAAATTAGCTCCCAGTTACATCATAGCTTACAGCAACGACAGAATGTACTTCTTTTGCATTTCTCTGGCTGCTTTAACCCCGCTACTACAAACTTGGTACCTTAAAATAGGAGGTAAACCTTAATAAAAATTTATTCTTGTATTTTGGAAGCCGTAAGTATAAAATCAGTATCACTGGTTGAAATCAAGGAGTTGGCAGGTCTACGCACCACACTGAGGCTTCAGGAGAGAACAAATTCCACGCCTCTACTAGCTTCTGTTGGCTGCTCTAATGTCTTGGTTTATGTATGTAACTCCAACCTTTGCCTCTGTGGTAACAACACCTTCTTTTGTGTTTGTGTGTATTCAAAGTCTCTGGTCCTTCATGAGGACAATAGTCACAGGTTACAGGGCCTCACATCTTTAGAGGCCATTTTCTGACCTAATGTAGTTTCCAAATCTTTAATCAAAACTATGAACTTCCCAGTTTGTGTTCACTCAATTTGACCCAATTGCCATCAAGATACCTTTCAGTCAGTGGCTCAGATCAGAGTAACTAATAGGTCTGTGGGTTAATAACAATGACAACGGAAACACAATGAATTCATATGGCTACACTGAGGACTCACCCCTGCTGTTGGGACTGCTGAAGAATCTCATCCAGATTCCTAACTGGGTACCTGGAGAAGGGATAAGCAAGGTAGCCTCACACATGAACACCAAAGATACTCCTCTCACTCACTAAGAACGAGTGGATTCTATTGTGCCTGCCCCCCCAAGCCTATTACTTCACTGCCATTAGAGCTTGCTTCTTCAGAATTCTGATGTATACTGAAGACCAGCTGAGACATCCAGCCTTATGGACCGAACAACTACTGGATTATTGGATCTTCCATTGGTAGCCATTGTTGGACTAGCTGGACACAGCCTGTAAGCCACTCTAAAGAAACTCCCTTTAGATGGATGGATAGATGCTAGACAGACAGACAGATTCATTCTATCAATTGTGTTTCTCTAGAGAACTCTGACTAATACAGTCATCAAAAGATTTTGTTGGGGTTGTCAAGATGGCTCATCTCAGACACACAGAAAAAAAATTTCTGAACAAGTAATTTCTGTGGCCTTTTCTCCAATTCAAATCATTCCTGTGTAGGGGAGGAGTAGATTTTTTCCCTCCTCCCCTCACATTTTTTAGGGGAAAGGACAAAACAAAGCCCAAGATGCCAAGCCTCTCCAAAGTCCCATTGTATTAATATTTGAAATATTATTGAATCTTGTAATGAAGAGAAAAAGTGACACATACTGGCTTCTAATTCTGAGAATAGAAGCGTTTTCATCTATTTAAGTGTACACAGGCATCTCAAAAGTTATCTTCAAATATGTTAAGAGGTCCTATGCAAGTCCCAACAAATTAACCTCACATTTTATTTTCATGATTCTACTGTTTTTTGTTTTGTTTCTTTTTTTTTTTCGAGACAGGGTTTCTCTGAGGCTTTGGAGGCTGTCCTGGAACTAGCTCTTGTAGACCAGGCTGGTCTCAAACTCACAGAGATCCGCCTGCCTCTGCCTCCCGAGTGTTGGGATTAAAGGAATGCACCACCAACGCCTGGCTCATGATTCTACTGTCAGAGGACCCTTTACCCCAACATTGTTTAAGTTATTGCAGTTTTGTGCATATATATGTGAATGTTAACTTATGAATCTTTGGTTCTCACTGCGCCTGGTTTACTGTCATTGACTTTGAAAATTTTTCCACAGGGCTGGGCATAGTGGTATACAACTTTAATTCCAGCAGAGTAAGGAATTAAATTGAAGTTACAAAGTTCAAGGACAGTCTGGGATATATGAGACCCAGAATGAACAAATGAATGAAAGAAAAGAGAAAGAAGGAAAGAAAGAAAGGAAGGAAGGAAGGAAGGAAGGAAGGAAGGAAGGAAGGAAGAAATTCCAAGGAAATACCACCAGAATAAAAGTACTACGATCTCTAAGTCAATACTAATACTTTACCGGATAGCTCAACCGTTAAAGGCTAAACTCACAACCAAAAAATATAAGAATAAGCAACATAACCACAGGTACATGCAGTACTGCTAAGACTCTATTTAGAAACCTCAAAGGAATACATAAACCCTGAATGGAGGAGGATATGTCAGTATACTCTAGGCATGAAAAGAATATCAGAATGTCTGGAATGTAAAAGACAACATCAGTCAGAACAGAATACAAATAGACCCCAGGAATAGAATACAAATAGTATAAGGAATACAGTAGAGGTCTTTGTCAATCTGGGCTGTCAAGGAAGTTAAAAACATACCAGATTATGGTCAGGGGCTGACTTTAGGTTACCCCTCCTGGGTAGGATCCAGTCTGCTACAAGGAGCAAACGTAATCACAGGTCACTAACATTACCAGGACCTACATCCTCCCTATGTGTAGGGTACAATTAACAGTGCATCTCTTCAGACGGTGTGTGGATATTTTACATTTAGTCTCCCTGGGATTTAGGGAACTTCTAGTTCCCTTCCTCTGCTGGGAAAAACTGGAGTGGGCATTTAGTGTGACCCACCATATACTTCAAGTCCCCCAAACCTCTACACATCCCACCGTAACGTTGCGAGACCAAACAGCTCTGCACACCCCATAAATCTGGGTGCAAACTCCTATCTTCTCATAGAAATTTAGGATTTTTAATCCCAATGCCTGTTGACTCTGTCTCTACAGTCTAGTCCTTTCTTCCTCTCTGTTTAATAGGGCGTGAACCTTCCGCAAGACTGCATCCTTTTCGCATCCCTCAGCCGCCCCAACACCAGCACTTCCTGTCCACCCACCCCACCCCCCTCCCGTTCCCAACTTCCGGTTTGTCCACGCGCGTCCACTCCCGTTAGTGGGTTCGGGTCTCTCCTAGCTTCGGTGTCCCCCTTCAGAAGCTCCTTCCCAGTTCTCTGATCGCCAACCACACACATCTACGGACTCGGGGCTTCGCGGACGGCCGACAGGACGGGCGGTGCCGCCGGCCGCCGCTCGACGCCCGCGGGGGCGTCTGGGAGTTGTAGTCCGGACCCGTGCGCTGACGCAGTTCGGGGGACAACAGACCGACGGGCGGGCGGGCGCCATTTGTGTCTCTTTCACGTGCCCGTCGGGGACGGCTCCCCTTTCTAATTCTTTTTGTTGTTGTTGTTGTTGTTTTAATTACTCCGCACCCTCTGAAAGCCCAGAGCCGCCTTTGCTTGCGGCTGGGACCCGGAAGGAGCTGTGTAGTCGTGGATCGGGATCCTGAGGGGGGGAAGACATCGCGATGCGGGACACGGTTTGAGAACCGTGGGTCGGAGGCCATCGGAAGATCTGGGTGTCCGTCCCCCCCGCGGTTAGAGGGGACCCGTCTCGTAGGCGCGCGGGAGTCGGGGAGAGGAGCCACTGGGCGTTTCTCCAATGTGGGGGTGGACTGGCCGCGTCCCGTTGAGAGACCGGCTAAGGGCAGAGGTGGACCCCGGGCGCATCCCTTAGCCGCCTTCTCCCCACCCCCGACCCTCCCTCCCCCTTGGTTTTCCTCTGCACGCAGCCCACCCCCGCGAGAGAACATGGAGGAAAGTGTGACCTCCACGCTTCCGACAACCTGGCCCCATGTGAGTAGAGGTTTCTTTGAGCTTTTGTTCTCGAATACTCTGGAGTCCCGGGGAGGAGGTGAAGGACTGCCTCGCTGTCCGAGAGGGTGGTTAGAAGAGAAAAAAGGAAAAGAAAAACCAACAAACCACTTTCTGACCTGGGGGAGTCTACAGGCCGGGCGGAGGCTCTCCGGTGACATTTAATTTGTGTCTGTGTCTGTGTGTGTGTCTGTGTGTGTGCCACTGACCAGCGCGTGGAGGACAGCTTTCCGAATCGCTTCTCCCTTTCCAAAATGTTGGGTCCTGAACATCAAACTCGGGCTTGGGAGCAGTCTCGCCGCCGGTCCCGTTCAACTATTTTTTACTTTTTTTTTTTCTTTTAATCTAAGCTGGGGGTGCCGGGGAGAAACTGACAAGTCTGAGAAGGATGGAGGCTCGTGTTTAGTTTCCAGCAGCTACTTTGAGGAGGCAACAGTTCATTACCAAGAAAAGCTATGTAGATGGGAACCAGCTGTGCCCTGGTTAACGCGAAATGGACAGGTTTTTCGTAGAGTAGGGGTCGCGCGCGTCCTGCTGTTAGAGTCAGAGCAATAAGCTCAAGAATTCAGGCAAAAGAACATGATGAGACAATTAGAATGTTGCTGGCTCGTCGTGGTCAGCCTTCCCATTTTTCTGTCACTGTGGAAAAAGGAAGACCCCTGGCTGAATAACGTCCTGTGGGTTTTAGGAACCTATGGAGTTTGAAGATGTATTTCTGACCTTTACCAAGGAAGAGTGGGCACAGCTGGACCACCAACAGAAGTGCCTATACAGGGAAATCATGCTGGAGAACTACAATAACATGATTTCTGTAGGTAAGGCAGCCTCCACTTGAATAAAACTGTTTGGGCCTTGGGTGAGTGGTATACACATAATCCTTCCTCCTCCTCACCCTCTTTTTTTTTTTTAATTCCTAATGTGTGGTGCCTCTGAGCTGTGTGTGCTTGGGCTTACACTGGACAGACCAGAGTGGAAATGTTGTGACAGTGGACAGCTTGGGAGAAAAGAAAAGGCAGCTTTTCAGTATAACTTGGGAAGTTTCGTCCAGTCGATACATCAGAGCCCCTGAATACTGGCTACAACCTATAAAGGGTACTTATAACTGCAGTGACAGTTGCCTGTAATTTTTATGGCACTTTCAGCGCATGAGATGACCGTGTCCCGCAGCTCGGGGTATCATCAAAGATTATGATTTCTTGATGGTTCTTAGAAAATTTTCTGCCCTCTCTAGTTTCTGCATAGCTGTGGCTCCCAGAGTTCATGTCTATGTTTAGGCGGAAACAAGAAAAAGAGAGAGTTGGCCAGGCCTTGGTGACACACACCTTTAATCCCAGCACTCGGGAGGCAGAGGCAGGCGGATCTCTGTGAGTTCGAAGCCAGCCTGGTCTGCAGAGCCAGTTCCAGGACAGCCTCCAAAGCAATGCAGAGAAACCCTGTCTGGAAAAACCAAAAAGAAAAGAAAAGTAGAGAGTCCTGACCAGTTCTTTCTCAGCTGTCACATTGTCTTCCCAAGAGCATCCCCCAATTGAACAGTCTCCCTTTTTCACTTTGTGGTTCCTCTGCTGTCAAGGAAACCCAAGAAATGCTACAAAAGGAACGGCCTGAGGCCTAAAGTCATGGCGTCACAGCACGGGGAAAGGAAGGGACAGCGTGCTGCAGCAGGACAGCATTTTCTCTAAGCAAACTTCCCAAGCCCTGTCTCTTTTTCCCTTGAGCAGAACATCACTTTTCCAAGCCAAATGTGATATCGGAGTTAGAAGAAGTAGAAGACTTCTGGCCAATGGACAGAGAAATTCCTCAAGATACCTTTCCAGGTGAGAGCCAGGCGTAAGAGTTCACACAAGGGATGGGCCTACTGGTTACTCTGAGACTAATGTCTTCCAAGTGGTAGAGAGCATGAGAACTCGGGTAGCATGCTGTAATTAGTAGACATTACTTTCCAATCTGCAGTCATTTTTCCATGGTGCTGGTGAGTAAGCCCAGGGCCATTCACACGATCAGCAGTGCAGACATGCTATCACTGAACTAACATCCTCAGCCTCCGTCCTTATTTGGAGCAGGCGTTACAGTATTTGGGGTTTGTGTGCGATGATGGTAGTGGAGTTTGTGTTGGGGATTTTGTTGTTGTTTTGGTTTTCTGTTTTGTTTTGAGATAAGGTCTTATGTAGCCCAGGCTGGCCTCCAGCCTATTACATAACTAAATTTCTGATCACCCCTCTAACTTAAAAGTCCTGGGCTTACAAATATGTGCTACTTCCACTGGCTCCTGTTTTTATTTCTTTTCTAAGTTTTGTTGTTGTTGTTTTTAACCACATAGACACATTGTCTGCATACTTGTGTGAATTTGTTATTTTGTTCTTAACTATTTTCACTTGGTATGTGGTGGACATATACTGAGTCTTCTATTGGAAACACCATCTTTCCATAGAATGAATTACTGTGTCATGGTACAGAACCCTCTTCTGTGTTCTTACACTTTGCTCTTTTGTGCTTTTCCTTCCTGGGTGTATGCCATAATGCAGTACATTTTATTGTACATTGGTATATTCATTCCCCTTATAATTTTAAAAAAAAAAACCTTAGGGTGTCTTTGGTCATCTAGTCCTAGATACGGACCAGCTTGCCTGAGTTAGACTGTACATTAAATGTGATTAGACTCATATCGTTGCTGTTACTTGTTCTGGTTAATCCTGTCTTGCACACTTGTTCAGATGACTCTGTCATTCTGCTACATTGTCTTAACATTGGTGTTTTAATTGCTTTTCTGCTGTGACGATGAGGGAAAGCATTTCATTGAAGGCTTCCTCACAGTCCGTGACCATCATGGTGAGGACCATGGCACTGGACCAGTAGTGGGAACCGACATCCTGATCCACAATCAGGAAGCAAGACAGAGCTCGTGGTATCTGGGAATGACGTAGGCTTTTGAAACCTCAAAACCCACCCCCATTGACACACCTCTATCAAGACCACACCAAATTCCTTTTAAACAGTGCCATCAACTAGGAACCAGGCGTTCAGATATATTAGCATGTAGGAGCCATTGTCATGCAAATCACCCCAATCTACTTCCTGGCCCCCATAACCCCATGGTAGTATCATAATACAAAATGCATTCAGTCCAACTACAAAGCTCCCCATAGTCTTTCAAAGTCTTGGGGGCTGGAGAGATGGCTCAGTGGTTAGAACATAGGCTGTTCTTGCAGAGCAGCTAAGTTCAATCCCCACCACCCACATGGTTGATGACTCACAACCATCTGTAGCTCCAGTCCCAGGGGATCTGACACCCTCTTCTGTCCTCTGAGGGCTCTGCACTCACACAAACCCACTCACAGCCGTACATAACAACAACTAAAATTGTAGAGTAAAGCTAAGAAGTTCAGATTCTCTTAACTGTATGTAACCCCCTTTAAATGCAAAAGGGTAGTTACATACTTCCAACATGCAAACGGCACAGAAAAATAGTACAATTCTAAAAGGGGGAAAGTGAGGAAATGCTGAATCAAAGCAAAATCAAAACCAAGCACAGCAACTCCAAACCCTGTAACTCCGTGTAACTGGGGGCTTGCTGACAGTTTCTGAGGGTTAGCCCATGACCGTCGCCGTGGGTAACGTGGCAACAGGCAGGCATGGTGCTACAGCAATTGCTGAGAGCTTACGTCTGATCCACAAGCAGGAGGCGGAGTGACGGCTAACTGGGACTGGCGTGAGCCTTCGGAACACCCCCAGTGACTCACCTGTGACAAGTCCACAGCTTCTACTCTTTGCCAAACCAGCTGGGGACCAAGTATTCAAACCTGTGAGTCCATGGTTCTCAGTCCCCTTGAAACCACCACGGCCACCAGACCTTCTCCTCAGCCCGATGTTAATTTGTTTTCTTTGCTCTGGACAATTACATAGTTGCATCATCATATACAAGCATGATTCTGAAAGGAAAGAGTGGTTATCTGGCCTGACTTACTAGGAAAACCGAAAGGTTTTGATGAGCATGATGTCAGATGCTGCTCTGTTTCCTATCAACATTCATCTGAATGAGTAAATATCCATCTAGTGCTAGAAATGAATGAAAATCCTTCATGCTTCCTATTTCCTTTATAGACTCCTCCCCGGTGGTCAGAGTGATTTTGCTCCTTCGAATAGTTAGTGGTAATAGTAGATTTAAGAAATGCCTTGCTGTAAGGTTATATTTGTGTGTTAATCTTCATAAATGACATGGTGGTATACACTGTCTTTGCTGTCTTCAACTTTTCTATTTATGTGGTGGCTATAAAACCCACTGTATGCTACTGGATGTTTCTCTTTGGTGTTTTATGCTCTGGTGGAAGTAGCATCAGAGCCACTGCTTCTGGCACTACTCACCTATCAGATCTCCATCTGGTGCCATCTTTGATGATGGCCGTTAGCCACAACACCCCTTCTATGGACCCTATTTTAGGGCTAGGAGTAGGTAACCAAAATACAAAAACGTGCAGGTTAAGTTGACAGAATACCCCTGTCCATAGAGCTGTGAGGGGAGTTTGACTTTTATTGTTGAGGAATGTTGTGACATGGCTTTTCACAGCTCACTCTGCTTGGGTTTGTGCAGAAAGAGCAGTGGCAGGCAGAGATGGAGAAGGAAAGGGGCTTCAGTAGCATCTGGGAGCGAACAATGCCTGCCAGGAGTGTAGTAGCAGGTTTAGGGAGAATTACAGAGTGTGTTTGACTCAAAGGTAGACTCGGTAGGTCTAGGTAAGTAATTAGCTAAACTGGACAAAAAAGCTGTTGAGAATTCTTATGGATGAAGAAAGCCCTGAAGGGCTTTCCTGTGGCTCTTTGTACTCTGTACATTTTCTGCAAGCATTCTCTTTATGGTCCTGGAGACCGATCCCAGGGTCTTGTGTATGCTATGCCACTGGGCTACATCCCCAGCCTTGCTCTGCAAGAAAAACTTCATCTGAATTTTTGCAATTAACATATATTAAAGGTACAAACTGTTTTAAGAAGTAGAACCTTGGTTTTCTTTTTTCCATAATGACATAATGTTGAATAAAAGGTTATACTAATCATGTAAAGAACTGCCTAATAGCATTCACCTTGAAAGTTCTTTTTAAACAGTGCCATGTCTCTGCTTGTTCTGGCAATAACTTATAAATGAAAAGGAACCTTAGATACATCCAAGAAGGTGTGCTAAGCTAATCAAATGCACTTGTTTGAACTTCAAGTGGTCCATGTAGCAAATAAAAATATGAGATCTTAGAATGTCATGTTACATCTCTACTAGTCTCCCAACAGTGGTGTGCTTTGTCTCCTACTGATGCACAGAACTGAGATTAAATCAAAAGCTGGGATTCTTTTGCACAACTCAGCTTGCCTGCCTCTCCAGTTTTCCACCATAGCTAGAGTGATATCATGAGATGTGGTTGTTGAAGTAATATGAGAAAAGGATAAATCCTAATGTCATGCATCCTCAAGAAAGCTTTGAATTGAATAAGATCTTGTGAGGGCTTGGGAAAATAAATTAGGTTGTGCTTGCTGGGTGGCGGTAGGGGTGCACACTCAGGAGGCAGGAGCAGGTGGATCTCTGATTTCAAGGCCAGCCTGAGAGAGAGTTCCAGGACAAGCAAGAGTACACATAGAGATACTCTGTCTCAGCCCCCCCATCAAAAAAAAGTTTGGACTCATATTCAGTTGTCCGTCTTTGTCCATTCAGAAAAGCACAGCTACCTGTATGTCTCTCAAATGGAACACTTGAAAGTTAACTAGTCTTAATCATTAAAAAAAAAAAAAGCAATGCATAAAATAGATTGGCCAGGCATGGTGGCACATAACTTTAGTCAGATGACTTGGGAGGCAGAAGAAGGCTGATCTCTGTGAATTCCAGGCTACCAAGGTAATATAGTAAGACTGGTAAATGAATAACTCATAATCATAGGAAAGCCAGCAAAAAAAAAAATGCTTTTTTTTTCTTTTTAAGTTTTTCTTTTATGTGTATGTATATTTTGCACTGTAGGCATGCAATTTCCACAGAGACAAGAAGAGAGCATCTGATCCCTGGAACTGATGGTTTTGAGCTATCATGTGTGATGGGAATGGAACCCAGGTCCTTAAAAAAAAAGCAGCCAGTGCTGTTAACTACTGAGCCATCTGTCTAGCCCCAAATTTGATACTGTCAACTTAAGAAATGAAGCAGAGCTGGGTGTTGGTGGCACACGCCTTTAATCCCAGCACTCAGGAGGCAAAGGCTAGTGGATCTCTGTGAGTTTGAGGCCAGCCTGGTCTGCAGAGCAAGTTCTAGGACAGCCTCCAAAACAATACAGAGAAACCCTGTCTCAAAGAAAAAGAAATGAAGCAGGGGCTGGGCAGTGTTGGCATACACCTGTAATCACAGCACTTGGGAAGCACAGGCAGGTAGATCTCAGTGACTTTGAGGCCAGTCTGGTCTACAAAGCAAATTCCAGAACAGCCAGCAAACCCTGTCTCAAAAACCAAAGAGGGGGAAAAATGAAGCAGGAAGTGAACCTGATGAATATGATTGTGGCAACACTTTCAAACAGTAAACAGGTTTATAATATTTGAATTTGCATTTAAAATGTTTTCTCATTTGTTTGAGAAAGAGGCAGATACTGCTAGATTTAATTCTTTGTGTGCCTAAAAGGATGTCCACATGCTAGAACAAACATGGAGAGAATGAAAGAAATAATTAATAAATAAATATGTAGAAAATGAAAGGATTTCACATATACAGAACTCTGAGGGTTCAATGCCATATATGTTTGTTTCAGAGTCTAGAATCTAGAATGACCATGAATTTTGGCTAGCGCTGGTACAGTAATGTGTTTACATGGTTGGTTGATTTTTGTTCAAGAACACATTTTCTCTTAACGTTCATGTGTTTGTGCTCTGGGATCTTTGTACAGTGTGTGAGGGTGTTCAAAAAAACTGTGTGCGGTAAATGTGCTTAGTATGAGAAAGCCCAATTTCATCTCACCTTGACCTTCTTAACTACAAGGAAGCTAAAACTGGATATCAATCTATAAAGACGGATGAGAGTCTTTTTGTGCATCTTTCATCTCTGAGAACTCAAAGGGAAGAAATCTCAGAAATATGATTGGAGCAGGAACAGCTTCTGGCTTTAAGAAAACTCAAACTAGACCCCCCACCACCACCAGAAAAAAAAAAAACATATTTTGTTTGGAAATTTTGTTATACCAAATACTAGGATCTGAGAACTCTGAAATCATGAGGATGTGCGTGGTGTAGAAACTGTTCCATGTGTGACTGTCTTTATTTGTCTTTGTAGTTGTGCTAGGGTTAGTCTTAAGAATGTAATCGCTATTAGGAAGCCACTGAGTGTTAAAGAGCTTACTGATGGGCATCCCTGTAAGCATGACAATGTGGGAACTTTCAGTAGGAGTCCTCATTGTGTTCTGTATCAGAGGACTCATATGGGCAAAGACAATTTGAATGTGTTCTGTGGGGAAATCATCAGCTTTATCCCCTGCATTATCTGAGAATGAAAAAAAGTACTCAATTGAAAGGAATACAGTGGTTAAGAAAAAGGAATGTCAAAGGTCATAAAAACGCAAACCCTGTATAAAATTTGAATAACACAAATTTATAACTGTAATAAAGCAATTTCTAACTGCTTACTCTGTATTCTGACGTAAATATTAAGTGATATGAATGAGAGCAATAATCATTACTAAAATCCTATCCATTCCAATTTATTAGCAATAAAATATAACTAAATTGCTTGGAGCTTACTAAGGTACTACAGAGTGAATAAGTATCTGAAGAAATCACAGGAAACAGGTATATCTTCAAAGAGCATTTCAGAATGAGTCCAAGCTTTGAGGGAGTAAAGGGAAGTTTTGAGGCACAAAGTGTTACAAAGACCAACCGAGGGTTCAGAGTCTTACTGATTTGTTCGAGAGGCCAGAATCTAGAGTGGCCATGTATTTGGCTAGAGCCTAGTTCAGTAGTGCGCTTGCATGGTTTGTTGGTTTTTGTTCAAGAACACATTTTCTGTCCTCTTTCATGAATTTGTTCTCTGGGACCATCTGTCTCGTATATCATGATTTTCTTAAGTGGATATCATTCTCTAGCATCCACACTTAGAATCTAGAGTAACTGGAAAGTCTGGGATACATTTCTAAAGCCACTGAACAAAGCATTGGGGCTGAATAAAACAATGTTTGTGTTCCTTAAAACATGTATATAGGAGTAGGTCTCAAGTATTCCAGGCTGGCCTGACCTTGCTATGTAACCAAACTTGACCTTTTTTTAAGATTTATTTATTATTATGTATACAGTGTTCTGTCTGCATGTATCCCTGCAGGCCAGAAGAGAGCACCAGATACCATTGTAGATCGTTGTGAGCCACCATTTGGTTGCTGGGAATTGAACTCAGAACCTTTGGAAGAGCAGCCAGTGGTCTTAGCCTCTGAGCCATCTCTCCAGCCCCTGCTAGGTAATTTTCTATCAACTCAGCTACTTACCCAGCCCTGTTTTTATTTTGGTTTTTAGATGAATCTGTCGTCACTCTGATTAGCCTAAACCTGAATATGTAGTCTTGGCTAGACTCTTACTTGCAGGGATCCCCTCTTGCCCCTGGCTCCCAAGGATAGCAGTTATAGGACTGTGCCAGCCTGCCTAGCTTTTGCTCTGGTTTTGACTTATAGGATCTTCTAGACCTTCTCCGGACCCTGGAATAAAGTCCTCTCCTGATGAGAATCCCTTGACGAAGATCAAGGTTGTTGAGGTCCTTACACTGAACAAGGATGTAGCTGGTCCCCGGAATGCCCTTATTCAGTCCCTCTATACTGAAAGTGGAGAAGACCTGAGCCCAGGTAACCTCAAGCCAGTTCAACAGGCAAGCAAGCATTTGACTGACAGTGAAATCGCTCACCAGAAGTTCCGCCATTTCCAGTATGAAGAGTCAGATGATCCCCAGAAAGCTGTATCTCAGCTTCGTGAGCTGTGTCACCAGTGGCTGCAGCCCAATATACATTCAAAGAAATGGATCCTGGAGTTGCTGGTGCTTGAGCAGTTCCTGAGGGCGCTGCCTGAGAAGTTGCGGGTGTGGGTGGAATCGCAGCACCCAGAGGATTGCCAGGCAGCCGTGGCCCTGGTGGAGAATGTAACCTCGGTGTCTACGGAGGACGGTGAGTGCCATGGAAGGGTGGGGTGAAACACATCTCTCGGAAGGCTTTATGGAGGAATGAGGAGTGCGGGAGGGTTGATCCCACGCCTGACCACAAACATCTGTGTCTTCCACATATTACCAGGTCAGAGCTAATGCAAACCTGAAGCTGGTGGTAATCCGGCCCTGTTCTCTCAAATGAAAACCTTCCATGGGCTTCAGTGGAGTCCACAGATGCAGTACTCTGTTTTGTTTTTTACCATTCTCTTGGGACCCCTGACACAAAGCCAGCCTTCCAGTTCATTATAGGGGCTATGAATAAAGTTGTAACTAAGGCAGGACTCAAGTTCATTGAGCCTGTGGTCCTGCAGAAAAGATGTGATACGACAAGGGAATACACATGCGGCAGTACTAAGGTCGGGATACTGGTAGCGTTTGTGGATGCTGTTTCTGTCGCTGATACCTGTTACGTCTAGAATGGTAAAGAAAGGAGGCAGGATGGATGTGCCAGTAGGCCATGAGCCAAGAATTCTGGGTAGCCTGTAAAAGTTAAGAAAACAAAGGATGGGTTCTTCCCTATGTCTGAAAGAACATAGCCCTGTAAATGTCTTGATTTTGGGCAAGTGGGGCTGATACCAAGCTCTGGTCTCTGGAACTTTAATATATTTTGCCAGACCTGATGGCATAGGCTTATACTCAAGAGGTCAAATCAAGTCACCAGTTCAAGGCCTGCCTGGGCTGCAAGTGAGTTCAAGGTCAGTGTGAACAAGTTATCACAACTCTGCCTCAAAATAGAAAACAATTGGAGCTGTCATTAGAAGTGGAACACTTACCTAGGCTGCACAGCACCACACTATCAGAGTAGATGGAGACAGGAAGGTCACTAGGGTTTGCTGGCTACAAGTTCAATGAGAGAACGTGACTCAGAATACAGCAAAGGGGGTGGAGTAGGACACCAGAGATCTCATATGACCTCTGCATGCGCCCAAACACACATACACCCAAATGCTCATACACCTCAATTGCAAACACCAGAAAAAACAGTAGTGCTTAGGAGATGAAATTAAGTTTACCCTAAGTTTAACATGTCAGAGCCTGATGACCCTGACCTTTCACAGAGGACCCTGAGAAAACCATTTGTGGTCAGTGGACTAGTTGGGATTCTTTTATGTCACTACAAAACCTTAAAAGTGCCTCCAAGAAGGAAAGTTTACTGGAAGGATTCTAGGATGTTCTAACTCTAGGAACAGAACGTCTATGCCTAGGAATTCAGTGAGCACCTCAACTTATCCCTCTTCCATATCTCAGTTAGCTGCGCTCAGCTGGCTTCATTAAGACTTCCAAACACAGGACTTCTCTTTCCTGAGTGTTCCAGCAAAGGCTTCAGTTAGCCTGTGGTCTCCCGTATCTATCAGAGTCCGTTTACAATGAAGCGATAGCATGGTAGACCAACCTGGGTCACATCATCTGTCCCGTGCTAGCTGGAGTAGAATCAGCCTCGTGAAAGGCCATGGAGCATGTGGAGGCACATGCAGAAGGCCAGACCTTAAGGAGTCCTTGGGAGAGCTGTTAGTACTGGCCAGGAATATTTAAGGTGACAAGCACAAAATGGGTACACGCCCTGTGACCAAAGAAAGCCTTCTCCAAGGCAACAGAAGGGAAGGGAAGCCACGCACGCATGATAAGGGCTTGCAGGCTAGAAACAGACTTTCCCGCTAAGAAGAAAGCATGAGAAGGCCGTTGCCTGGGAAGCCAGAGCTTGAAACTGATGCTGGAGGGGGAAGGCGACAAAAGGGTTCAATACTGGAAACCCCAGTCCCTCGGTGGTCCATGCAGGGTGACAGTCTGGGCCCTTCCAGGTATAGGAATCAGTTACCCATTGTGAATCGGTCAACATAGACTGTCAAGGGACATGGATATTCGCAGCTCGGGGGTTGCAGAGCCTGGCAGCTCTGCCTGCCTGAGGGCTACCATTGATCCCTTCATGTGGCATCTTCTCCAGCTCTCCCTGCCTGCCATAAGGAGGCCACTGATGGACTGAAAGAGAAAAACAAGGACATGGCCACCTTACCAGTTACTGTACCACCTGAGGTAAGCAAAAGCCTTACCTTCCGTTCCCTTGCTCATAAGGGACCCAACCCTAAGATGCCTGCCCCCTTCTCTACCCTGAGCCCTGCTGAGTTCTTGGGACTGAGTAGAGTCTGCAGCAACCGAAGCGTGAAGGGCAACCCTGCTCCTCACATTGTGGCCTAGCCATAGAGAAAGGGAAAGGCGGGCGTAAGTGGACCAAAGCTGGTGAACATGAGAAGCAGAGCAACTACAGGCGCTTGTTCGAACCACATTGTACCCGGTTAGAATGAGAGAGCCCTTGTCCTTCAGAAACACCCAGCTGGGGAATTAGGGATGGAACAGCACAGCTTAGATCTGTCTCAGAACAAACTAAGGTGAAGGTGATGTGCACGCAGCAAGATTAGCCTGTCAGCTATAGGATATGGAGTGTGTATGGCGTTAGTTGGTGTCGTTTGCCCTGTAAGGAGTGTATCTTGGCTCAAGCATGTGATTGAAATTGTTGGCTCTCATGTAATGAGTAGTCTAGAGTAGGCTTCAAGTAAGACTACTGACTGGGAATGGGAAGAAACTGATTGATTAATCCCAACTTGCTGCTGCGAATTCTGTTCCTTCTGAGGTAGGCTCTTCTCCATCTGGGCAAAATATCTCCCCGATCCAGGCAAGTTGGTGAAGTGAAGAGTTGTCTTTTTTAAGAATCTTTAGGGGCTCATAAAAACTGCAGTAGCATAGGTGAAGGCTTCACATGGGTCAGACCTGTCTGCAAAGGCAAACATCTTCATTGTGGGTTTTACCCTAGAGGACAAGAGCTGTTCCTCTGGTGAGATGCTGCCCTCACAGTGCAGCCTTGATACTGGATGCTAGTATGACTGATGTGGCTTGCTTATTGAACTGGTCGGTGTTTGTCAATCAAAGGCTCTCTCTACCAGCCTGGTACCCCAGACTTTCGTTTAGAGAAATACCCTATAGATCTCTTTTGGGCTGGAGAAGTCATTGTCTCTGAGCAAACCACAAAAGCAGAGGAGCCCCTATCTGGTATAATGTCCCAGTGGCATTTCTTCTGCCTCCAGGGATAAAGACCAGACTTTTATGACATTACAGGAGCCAGTTACCTTCCAGGATGTGGATGTGGACTTCAGTCAGGATGAATGGCGGCTACTAGGTCCGATGCAGAGGACTGAGTATCATGATGTGATGCTGGAGACCTTGGGCAACTTGGTCTCTGTGGGTAAGATCACAGCTGTATTTATAATGCCACAGGGTCCCCTCAGGTCTCATACTTTCGCTCTACCCATTGTCAGGGTAGAGAGGATCTCTTACTCTGTCCAGGACCTTTATCTAGAACTGTGGCCCTATGTGGGTAGGGGACCTTGAGTGCACAGAGACAGCTCAGGTTTGGTTTGCCTGGGAATGAGAGAACGCTCCTTGCCCTTACCCATTGTCTTCATCACCAAACTGATTGCTCCTGGTTTTGCTGCAAACAGTGTGTCGGTCATTCCGTAGACTGACTATTTGAGGAGAGGGATGTAATCTCATTTTTAATACCGTTTGTTATACTGTCATTCTGGCACTTTTAACGACAGTATGCTTATCTTTTGGTTTCTTTCAGGGTGGGAGCCTACATCGGGAAAAGAAGAGTTAACTCTAGAATCTCCCAGTTCTGTGGTAGAACCAATTCACAACCCAAAACCAAAAGGTTTCTCAAGGGAAGATACCCAGTCCACTGTCTCTGAAAGTATCTCACAAGATGAGGTCCCAGGAATCCATGCCATAAAATCGAGTCAGGCGGAGACTGTACAGGAAACAGGCCTCCCTCAGGGCCACTCTGAAAGCTCCACGTCTCAGGGGCAAAGTAGGCTGCACTCAAGCAAGGGCTCCCTCGATGCAGGTCTTCCTAGAACGCACTTGCATGTAAACATTAACCAGAAGGGCTTAGGAAAGAGGAAGGCCAAGGAGAAAAACATTGTCGGTACACGCGATTCACCCAGAAGAAATAAGCAGGAGGGCTATGAGGGGCGGCAAGTCAGAGATGGCAGCAATTCCAGGATACACGGCCCTTCTATACAAAACCACCAGCAGGGATATGAACAGAGTAAAGCCGGGGACAGCAAAGATCCCTTTATACTTCTAGCACCTGCAAAAGTCTACCAAGCAGCCACTGGCTCTGAAGGGGGTGGGGTCAGGGACCACAGCAAGGCCATGACACCTGATGCAAATACAAGGATTCACAAGAAAGGTCCTAGACGGGATAAGATTGGAGAAAGCTCCAATGCCACGGTACAAGGTTCGTCTCTATCAAATCACCAGACGGGGTCTGAGGCAGGAAGATCACGGGACAGGAACAGTTCCTTGACACAGGCTTCACCTGTAAGAATTCTCCAGAAAGGCTATGAAGGGGGTAAAGTCCGGGGAATGAGGAATTCCTTGAAACATGTAAGAACTAACCAGAAGGGCTCCAACAGTGGGAGAGTTGGGGAAATTGGTACTTCCTTAAAGCACACTCCCTATATCAAAATTCGCCTGAAGCCCTCTGAAAGAGGGAAAGGCAGGGAAATCAACACTTCCATTAAATATAGTCCCCAGGTGAAAGCTTACCAGAGGGTTTCGGAAGCAGCCACTGCAAGGAAAGCCAATAATTGCAACAAAGCCGGCAGCCAGCAAGCTCAGCAGATATTTTTTATAAAAATTCACAAGGGGAGCCAAGTTTGCCGCTGCAGTGAGTGTGGTAAACTATTCCAGAATGCTAGGTATTTCTCTGTCCATAAAAAGATCCACACAGGGGAGAAGCCTTACAGGTGTGTGGCCTGTGGGAAAGCATTTGTTCAGAGCTCCTCCCTCACTCAGCACTATAGAATTCATAGTGGAGAGAGACCTTTTGAGTGTTCAGAGTGTGGGAGGGCCTTCAATGACCGCTCAGCCATCTCTCAGCACCTGAGAACTCATACTGGGGCAAGGCCCTACCATTGTCAGCACTGTGGGAAAGCCTTCCGCCAGAGCTCACACCTCACCAGGCATGAGAGAACTCACACTGGGGAGCGCCCGTACGTGTGCACCAAGTGTGGGAAGGCTTTCACACAGAGTTCGCACCTTGTCGGGCATCAGAAAACACACGGGATAAAGCTCAAGAAGCAGGCCAAATTGCAGTCCTAGTGCCTTTCAAACCACTGCCTTCTCAGCCTTGAGATGCACTCTGCAGACTGAAGAGTCCCACGCTCTCAGGACACTGCCCAGCAAGCATGAATGAAACTGTCAGGGACTTCTTAATTGTTTCATTTAGTCATGAGAATATGAAAGCTGAAAGTGCCCCTAAGTTTAAAGAGCCAATTAACCAAAAACTGCACTAATAATTATACACAGGGTCGTGTATGAGTGACAAAACCCAAAAGAATGTATAGATAAATAAACTAATTGCTTTGGAATTTGTGTTTCCTGCTGTACTGGCTGTTGTTTGTCAACTTGACTATATCCGGAATTAAAACACAAGCAGCTGGGTACATCTGAAGAATATTTCCTTAAACATTTTGAGGTGGGGAGATTCACCCTCTTTTAATCTGGGCCAGACCTACTGGCAGCCTATATAAAGGACATGGAGGGAGGAAACTTGCTCTGGTTCTTGGCTAGTCCATTTTTCACTGGCTCTAGAGATTTTGGGATGTACTGAAGACTGGCTGAACATCCAGCCTTGTGAACTGAACAACTAATGGATTCTTGGACCTTCTATTGGTAGACAGTCATTGTTGGACTGACTGGATGACAGCCTGTAATTCATTCTAATAAATCCGTGTGTGAGAGAGGAAAAATACTCAGATCTGTTACTCTAGAGAACCCTGATACACCTGCTGAACTAAGAATATGTTGATCAGATGCTTAAATGAGCAACATTAAGACAAAGTCTTATCAAACTTCTGGCAGCTCTATGCTGGAGTCTTTGGGCCCCAGGTTCCCAGATGAGTTGGGCAAACAGATCATTTCTCTCTTTAGGTCACTGTGATGGAATGGTTCAGTGTACAGATGGCAGGAAATGTTCTGGAATCATTGGAGTCCCAGAAGTCCCTAGTGACTCCAAAGATACATGGGAATGTCCTCTGGCGTTACAAGGGAGAGGAGTTCCCCCAGCCAATTGCTCATCGCTATGTTAAACAACAAACACTGGCAACACCATGGCATGTGATTGATGCCCACTTTCAAACTTGATTCTTTTCAAAAAATTCTCCAGATCAAAAGAATAAAACAAGTAGCAGTAAGGCTCATCTGGTAAACAGAGCCCACCACCAAACCTCCAGAGCTGAGTTTAATCTCTAGTACCCACATGGTGGAGAGAGAGAACTGATTCCTGCAAGTTGTCCTCCGTATGCCATGGTGTACAGTTACACTAAAACTATACCAACTTTGAGGTTGGAGAGATGGCACAATGGTTACAATTTCTTGTTCTTGTGTAGACTGGATCCTAGCATCCACCTTTGGAGATTCAAATCTACCTATGTCCCCAGCTCCAGGGCAACCGAACACCTTGGCATCTGTAATTGTACATATCCATACAGGCACACATAATTAGAGTAGATATATGTTTTTAAGTCTCCAGTGAGTATATGAACAACACAAATTGGACTTGCTTTTTTGTTTTTCGTTTGTTTGTTTCCTATGGGGGGGGGCAGGCTTGAGGGTGGGAGACAGACCTGAGAAGTGAATGTGACCAGGATGCATTGTGTGAAATTTCCAAATAATCAATAAAAAATACTATGTTGGTAAAAGAAACTCCAGATCACATACAGTCCACTTCATCCCTTTCTCCATGGTTCCGCAATGGTCTTCTAAGTCTATAACATTTGCAAACATTCTAGAGCTGGGGATTGAGCTCATGGGTAAGCATATGCTTTGCATATATGAAGCCGAGTTCAATTCCAGTACATGTGCATGATTAAACACAAACACACACCAGAGCACTTAGGATCTAGCTTGTATATCATGTCCTCTTGGGTGAATGCATTACCTTTCCCTGAAGCAAATATGAGTTGGAGGCAGGACCAAAATACATATATGCTGTAAGGTCAAGTGTATGGGAAAAGGGCTATGAGGATTCATACATCATAGTACAATTATTACCATGAGGTATTCAATTGTTTCAACAACCTAATACAGTGTTTTAGTATTTCTGAAATGGAGCTTAAGTTGTCCAAAGCTAGTAAATTACTCCATATTATTGCCTATCAAGTAAGGAACAAATGGTTGGACTAGAGACCAAAACCTAAGAATCTCATTTTTCTGAATCCATAACACTAAGATGGGCCTCTCCGAAGGTGAGGAGCCAGGAGCTGTCAAGAAATGGAAAATTATGAACTACAGGAGAACTTTAGATCAGAAGATGCAACCCGCAGCTTGGGAAACATGGTTTGCCTATATGTTCTATGTAATGAGCAATTCCAAATTAGTGGCAGAAAACAGCCATTTTATTATTTGTTGGTCTGTGGGTAAATTTGGAGACCATACATGAGTTTCCTAACTGCTCAGTGGTTTCTGGGATCTCAGCCAGGAAGACAAAGAGTTGACAATGGAATGCCTAGGGCCATTCGAATGTAGCTTAGATGTATATAGACTCTGGACCTCACGTGTGTTGATTGCCTTTCAAAATCACTGATGGTAAGTAGGGTCTAGTTGAAATCTATCATTGAGCCTGTCAGCTCCCACACAGCCTCTCCTTGCCCTCCTCTTCCTATCTTAACCTTCAGGTTTTTAAGGTAAAGGCTGACACAACTGAGGACCTTCCTACCCAGAGAGAGCTGTCTATAACCTGGCTTGTCTCCTTCAAAAGCTGAAGGGAGTCTGATTTCCCTTGCATTGAGCTTGTGCGTGATGCTTAGAAAATGACAGAAGGTGGGGGCTGGAGAGATGGCTCAGAGGTTAAGAGCACTGCCTGCTCTTCCAGAGGTCCTGAGTTCAATTCCCAGCAACCACATGGTGGCTCACAACCATCTGTAATGAGATTTGGTGCCCAATTCTGGCCTGCAGGTATGCAGACATATGCTGTACACATAATAATAAATAAATAAATGTTAAAAAATGATATTTAAAAAAATTTAAAAAAAAAGAAAATGACAGGAGGTAATTTCTACCCTCCTTTCCAAGACAGAAGTCACTGTGATGCCAGGCCGGCGCCTCTTCCAGTTCTGTTGGAACTCTGAGTCTGTAGCTGGTCCCTCTGAAACCCAGTCTTGGAGCCACTATAGGCCATCCAGCCCCCCCAAAAAAAGACCTCTGGTGACCAATGGCCAGTCAGTGGCTTCAACAAAAACCCTGCACCTATGGTCACAGTCAAATAGAGTCCAACTAACCTGGTGTTTCCCTAAATTGGGCCTTGGGATGAAGGTGAGATAACAGACATCTGGGGTTTTGAAGAGGAGGGAACGGTTCCCAGCAGGAGGAAAGGGTGATTCCCAGTCAGGCCCAGAGTCTCAGTCGTTAGGTCCAGTTGGCAAGGAAAAGAGATCTGTGAGGGCCTTACTTTGTTTCCTATTGCTGTGATAAAACACCAATACCAAAGGCAGCTTAGGGAGGAAAGGGTTTATTTTAGCTTACACATTCACCTTGTTCATAATCCATCATTAAAGGAAAGCCAAGGCAGGAAATCAAGCAAGGCAGGGTCCTGGAGGCAGGAATTGACACAGGCCATGCAAGAGTACTGCTTACTGGCTTGTTCCTCGTGGCTTGCTCAGCTGGTCTGTAATTCTCTTTCTTTGTTGAGTCTTTAGGTGGTGTGGATATCATGGTAACTGTGATCTCATAAAATGAATTAGGCATTGTTGCTTCTGTTTCATTTTGTGGAATAATTTGAAGAATATTGGCATTAACTCTTCTTTGAAAGTCTGGTAGAATTCTGTGCTAATATCGTCTGACCCTGAGCTTTTTTTGGTTGGGAGATGTTTCTTGATTGCTTCTATTTCACTAGGGGTTATATGTCTGTGTAAATCACTTATCTTGATTTAGCTTTGGTAAATGGTATATTGAGAAAATTATGCACTTCTTTTAGAGTTTCCAATTTGGTGGAGTACAGGATTTTAAAGTAAGTTCTGGTGATTCTCTGGATTTCCTTGTTATCTGCTTTTATGTCTTTTTCTTTTCTATTTTTGTTAATTTGAATATCCTTGCTCCTATGTTAATTTGGATAAAGATTTGTCAATCTTCTTTTCTCTTTATTTCATTGGTTCCTTGTACTTGTTTTATTTCTGTTTTATTGATTTAAGTCCTGAGTTTGGTTTGGGTATAGTCACTTCTTTTTGTTCTAAAGTTTTCAGGTGTACTGTTAAGTTACTAGCATGAGATTTCATGAAGGCACTTACTGTTATGAACTTGCCTCTTAGAACTGCCTTCGCTATGTCACATAAGTTTGGGTATTCTCTGAACTCATTTTCATTAAATTCTAGAAAGCTTTTTAAATTTCTTTCTTGGCCCATTTTTAATTCAGTAAAGGGTTATTCAGGCCCCATGAATTTGTAAACCTCCTATTGTTTCAATTGTTGTCAATATCCAGCATTAATCTGTGGTGGTCAGATAGGATATAGGGTGTTATTATAATTTTCTTGACTCTATTGAGACTTGCTTTGTGAATGAGTATGTGTCATCAGTTTTGGAGAAAGTTCCATTACATGCAGAGAAGAAAGTATGTTCTTCTATGTGGAATATTCTGTAAATATCTGTTGGGCCCACTTGGTTTATAATGTCCGTTAGCTCCAGCACTTCTCATTTTAGCTTCTGTCTGAATGGTCTATCTATTGGTGAGAGTGGAGTATTGAAGTTTCACACTATCAGTGTGTGAGGATTATCATGTGATTTAACCTGTAGTGGTGTTTCTTGTTGCTGTATTTTTTCTTGTCCCACCACTCATGAGCTCAAAATAAACACACGGATACTATAGTATTAAATTATTAAACTGTTGGCCGGTAACTAGGGCCTCTTATTGGCTAGCTCTTTTTTTATTATTAACCCATAACTACTAGTCTATGTATTTCTACATGGCCTTACCTTATCAGAGAAGCCTGGCATGTCCTGTCTTCCTGGACTATACATGGCGTTCTCTCGCAGTTCTTATCTGCCTCTCTTCCTAGCATTCTCCTCATCGGCTCTCCCTGCCTGTCTTCCTGCCTCTCCTGGCTATTGGACAAACAGTGTTTTAGTCATCAACCAATAAGAGAAACATATATACAGAAGGACATCCCCCAGCACCTCTTTTCTGTCTAAATAAAAAAAAAAGGTTTTAACTTTAAAAGAACTGAAATACCTTTGGTGGGTTTTTCCTTTTAAGTCTATACTGTCGTTCCTTATCTCTTCTAATTAGTTTTGGTTTGAAGTCTATTTTATTACATATTAAAATGGCTACACAGCTTGCTTCTTAGGTTCATTTTCTCGGAATGTCTTTTTCTAACCCGCTACCTTGATATGATGTCCATGGTTGATGTTGAGGTGGTTATTCTTGGATGTAGCAGAAGGATGGATCCTGTTAGTCTGTGTCTTTTTATTGGGGAATTAAAATCATCGATGCTGAGAGATATCAGTGGCCAGTAATTATAGACTCTTTCTTGGTTTTTCTTTTTTGGTTTTTCAAAACAGAGTTTCTTTGTGTAACAACCCTGCTATCCTGAAACTAGCTCTGTAGACCAGGCTGGCCTTGAACTCACAGAGATCCACCTGCCTCTGCCTCCCGCCCCTGTGATTTCATGGCTTTAGTTAACCCCCTTAGGTTGGAGTGGTACTTCTTTCGCCTCTGTAGGGCTAGTTTTGTAGGCATATGCTGTTTAAATACTGCTTTACTTTGGAACATGTTTTCTCCATCTTTGGTGATTGAAGTTTTGCTGGGCTCAGTACTCTGGGTTGGCATCTGTGGTCTCCTAGAGTCTGCAAAACCTTTGTCAAGGACCTTCTGGCTTCTAGAGTCTCCATTGAGAAGTCAAGTGTAATTCTAACAGATCGGCCTTTATATGTTACTTGATATTTTCCCTTGCAGCTTTTAATATTCTTGTTGTTGTTGTTTTGTATGTTTGATGCTTTGATTATTATGTGGTGAGGGACTTTATTTGGTGTTCTGTATGCTTCTTGCCCTGTTATACATATACATCACTTGCTTTAAGTTAAAATATTTTTCTTCTATGATTTTGTTGAAAACATTTTTCAGGGCCTTTGACCTGGGTTTCTTCTTTATTCCTATTATTCTTATGTTTGGGCTTCTCAGAGTGTTCCAGAATTCCTGGATGTTTTCTGCTGGGAGCTTTTTAAATTTAATATTTTGTTTAACTGGTGTATCTGTTTCTTCCCCTGGAACTCACTCTGTAGACCAGGCTGGCCTCAAACTCACAGACATCCACCTGCCTCTGCCTTCCAAGTTCTGAGATTAAAGGCGTGCACCACCACCATCTGGTGCCTCCCATATAACTTGCGTTCTGTTGGTAAAGCTTTATCTTTGTGTTTCCTGCTTGAATTCTTACATTTTTCATTTCCAGAATTCCCTCAGTTTGTTTGTGTGCTTTTTTGTTTTGTTTTGTTTTGTTTTTGTTTTTCCCGTTATATTTTGTTCAAGGTATTTCCCCCAAATAAGTTGAGAGTCATGGTTTTGAGAATAGAGACTTCAAAAACAGGTGACTTAGCACAAGAGGGATAGGGGAGGGAAATGACTGCAACTTGCTCTCAGAGACTGGAGAAAATTTAAAAATGAGAAAGAGGGTTGGACACCATCAGGCTTCTGTGCTAATCATCCTCGCCTTCATCCTCCTCTCCTTCCTCCCCTTCATCATCGTCTTCATCTTCTTCACCCTCATCTTTATCCTCTTCATCGATATCTTCCTAGCCTTCCTCCTCTTCATCATCATCGTCTGCCTCTCCTTCTTCATCATCCATATCAGGAGCCAAATAGTACTGCGAGGAGTTTGTCCAAATATCGTCTTTGATGACCTCTCCTAACTCATCTGCACCTGCATCAGAATGGTCAGTAAACCAGATTAAGAAGCTCTCTGGTGTTTCGTGCTACCTCTTCCTGCTGGAATTATGCTGTGTTTGACTTGAGTGTTTTGTCAAATCCTTTCCAGATTTCCATTGATTTCAGTGGACTTTGAAGATGGGTCACCACTCTCATTCAGATGGAATTCTCTGGATAGAACTTTATTTTCAAAGTAAGGATTTTCATCAAAATAAAAATCTATTCTGGAAGCCGGGTATTGGTAGCATACACCTTTAATCCCAGCACTCGGGAGGTAGAGGTAGGCAAATCTCTGTGAGTTCAAGGCCAGCCTGGTCTACAGAGCAAGTTCCAGGCCAACCCCCAAAACAGTACAGAGAACCCCTGTCTCGAAAAACCAAAAAAAAAAATCTGTCGCTTCTGTCAAATTCTGTCACTTCAACTCTGGTCAAGTAATGCAGGGCCTCTTCATCTCCCCCCACCCCCAAGCAGTGCAGACACTTGTGGATGGTTGACAAATGTCATTTGGGGCCATAGAACGATGGTAGTGGCAAAAAGTCAGTGGTCAGAGCCTCAATGCTTCACAGCAGGAAGAAAGACCTAGAAACTAGTTTGTGTTTTCTTTCTTGGTTCCGTATCCATTTTCATTTTATTCATTTCCTTACGCTATTTGTGTTTTCACAAATTTTTGAAATGGTTTATTAATTTCCTCTTTAAGGACCTCTATAGTCTTCATGCAGGAGGTCTCATGGTCTTTTTCCTGTGCTTCAAATATGTTGGAATATTGAGGGCCTACTGTGGTAGGATAGATAGCTGGGCTCTAGTGGAGACATATTGCCCTGGCTATTTTGTATTGTGTTTTTATACCAGAGTCTAGGCATCTGGATTGAGATGGGATGATTATAGGTCTAGGTGGTGATTTTGGGATTTTTTTCTATGTTGGGTGGGTGTTTCTGTTTTCTCTATTTTTGGAGAATGTGATGGCTTTGTGTTTCCTGTTAAGAAATATTCTTTAGATCTGATAGTTGTGGCCACTGGGGATTCCAGATAAAATGTGTTTCTGGGTACTGGGAGATGACACTTAGGAATTTGAACAGGCTTGGGGTCTCAAGGGAATCAAAGGAATGGAGGGAGGCAGTGAAGAAAGGACACCCCAGAAAGTCTGCTATAGTGCTGGGGATGACCAAGGAACAGAAGGAAAGAGAGGATCTACTGGTAGCCTACCTGCTTCCCTGGCAGGAGTGGTCTGTGTGTTAGCATGGGGTGCCAAGCTATTGTGGGCTAGGATAAAGTGGGGGAAGAAAGCTAGAAATGGATGTTCTGTGGGGTCCACAGGGGATGTGGGTGTCATGGAGATAAGGAAGGCTGCAGCTGATATTCTGTTCAAGCCTATGGATGAGACTGGAGATTCGATCAGGAGGGGAATAGGGAGTGGTGAATGTCTTACCTGTTTCCTTGGCAGGTGTGTTCCCAGTGAATACGGGCTGGTGTTGGAGACCTAGATGATGGGACGAGTTGAGGGAAGGATAGCGGGAGAAGATCTTTGTGATCCACTGTAGATGATGTCAGAGAGGAAAGGGAGACTGTGGCAGGTTCTCTGCTACAGAGCTTTGTATAAGACTGGGGGATTGGATTTGAAGAGCAGAAGGAAGGGCGTGGATTCCCCATCAGTCTACCTGTTGCCCTGGAAGGAGCAGACCTTGGGTTAGCAAGGGGTACCTGCTGGGGTTGGGGGCTGGAATAAAGCAATGAGTGGGCATGGGGGAGATTAGAAGGGAAAGATCACAGGAAGCCACAGGAGATGGGGACAGGAGATCTGAGGTGTTCTGTTGCAGAGCTAGGGTGAGATCGCTAGTATTATCTCTTAGAAGCCTGTTCTTTTCTAATGAGAAACATAACTCAGAGATCAAAATAGGATTAGTTGGATTGAAATGGGAGGAGCAGAGTAAACAGAAAACATAATCAGGATATATTATGTGAGAAAATAACCTATTTTTTAAATATGGGGAAAAAGAAAAGTATATCAAAGTATAAAGGAATCAAAGTGAGAAATGCTTCAGTTGGAGTTCTTGCTTTATTGCTCATCAGAGAATTCCTATGGAAGAGAAGTGTCACTGGAGTGCTTATTAGGCACCAGAGAAATCAGTCAAGAAAGAATTATCTTCAGTGTCACCATGATGGAATACACAACATCCAGAATTTTCACATCATAGAGCATCAGTGAATTCATACTCTAATATTTCAGAGACACTCAATGTCATACCTTCAAATGGGGGTATTACTTCTGTGTTACATACTTGCAAAATCCAGTCGGTGGAAAAGCCACAGAATTAATACAAAAAAGTCTCCAGAGAACATATACACTTTTATATCATTAGAAAATTTCCCACTGGACAGAAATTCTATGCATGTAATCAGTGAAGATGTACTTTCGGGAAGCACTATACTCAGGCTAAAAACTACAGAACTTATTCTAGGAAAAAAAAAACTCTGGGTACTATTTTACAATGTCATAGTATATGGTCAGTCTTTGATCTTATAACAGTCATATGAAACTCAAATAGTTTCTTTATTGCACATAGTTCTAAAATTTAAAAAGGTATTACAAGAGCAAGAGGATGAATAGTTTAAACATGAATGTGAAAAAAGTTGTTCCTTTAAATTCTATATAATTGATAGAAACACTGAAGGAGTGGATAAATATAAGATTGAGTTCTTTGTTACTGAGACACACATCCACTTGAACCAACTTTTCTATTTGCTAATATGTTTTAAGCAACTTTTTAAAATTTTATTTATTTATTATTATTTACAATGGTATTCATCTGCATGTGAGGGTCTTGGATCTCCTGGAACTGGAGTTAGACAGTTGTAAATTGTCATGTACATGCTGGAATTGAACCCAGGTCCTCTGGAAGAACAGCTGGTGCTCTTAACCACTGAGTCATCTCTCCAGCCCCACTAATATATTTTATGAAGATTCTGAATGACATAATTGTGCTTCAAAAGCATGATGTATAGGACTGTGTTGCCAGGTTAAAGTAAAATTTGCCTGCAAATAAGAATCAAACTACAGCTGAACAGTGATGGCACACACATTTAATCCCAGCACTCATGGGCAGAGGCAGGCAGAGAGATCTCCAGGACAGCCAGGACTACACAGAGAAACCCTGTCTTGAAAAAACAACAATAAAAAAGAAAAGAAACAAAGTAGAATGACTAAATGATTTTTTGATATTTAAATATTCATGTGAGTATTCAACAATGAATGCATTTGTTTTGTTTTGTTTTGAGATGTGTTCTATGTAATCCTGTCCACTTGCTTCCTGGGTGCTGGGGTTAAAGGCACACAACACCACAACCAAATCCAACAATATCTTTTTTAAAGGAACAAGGATAATTGGGTACTTCCCCTGCAGAGAAAATACCATGATCAGAAGGGTGGTTTTCCCAAGATGAGGCTCATTCATTGCACTCGGAATAGCTAACCACTGCATACAATTTCTCCAAATTTTGGAAATTTGATTGCATAATTTGTGGTAGTGGAGGACTACATTTGTCTTATCTTCTTGGAGAAGGAGAAGGAGAGGAGGAGAAAGAAAGAAAGGAAGGAAGGAAGGAAGGAAGGAAGGAAGGAAGGAAGGAAGGAAGGAAGGAAGAAAGAGGAGGAAGAGGAGGAGAAGGAGGAGGACTGGAGAGGTGCCTCGGTGTTTAAAAGCACTGTCTGCTCTTCCCGAGGACTTGGGTTTGACTCCCAGCACCCACCCATCTGTTTTAACTCTAGTTCCAGGGGATCCAATGCCCTCTTCTGTTCTCCGTGGGCACTGAACACAGGTAGTGCACACACACATATGCAGGGAAAAGCATCCATACACATAAAATGATAAAATAATTCTAAAATTTAAAAATCAATTTTCAAAAGGATTGGAGTGTAGCATAATTTTAGAGCACTTTCCTATAATATGCATAATTCTGGGTTCAATTCACACCATCTCAAGAATGAAAAGAAACAGAGTTTGGAGACATCTTGTTTGCCAGTGGTCTTTGTTGAAGGACAAAGAACTGAAAACTGAATGCTGCTAAGCTTCAAGAAATATTAGTAGATTCTGTTGTTTATGGGCTCTCCAACGACTTTACCAATGAGGACCCATTAATTATGTAAGACTTGAAAAAAACCCGCCAGAAATTTGTCAATATGGTACAGAGGGTATGTGTGTATAATTTGTAGACACAGGAGTGCCATTTACCCAGAATTTCTTACATGATCATCGTTCCATATGGAGAAAGTGACTAGAAAAGCAGGAAACTTCAAATAGAAGCTTCAACCCTTTATCCATGCTTCATCTGACATAATACCTGGCATGAAACCAGAGAAAGAGCTTTTCCATGGTCATGGCTATGGCACTTCCTAGAATTTGGAGGTAGATTATTTTTCTGGTTTCCTAGATCATGGGCTTTTAATTAGGATTCACTTGTCCCAAGAGGTTAAAAAGTTTTCAAAACCAGGTTATGATGGTGTATGCTTTTAATTCCAGCACTCAGGTGGCAGAGGCAGGCAGATCTCTGAGTTTGAGGCCAGTCTGGTCTACAGAGGGAGTTCCGGGATGGCCAGGACTACACAGAGAAACCCTGTCTCAGGGGGAGGAGGGGGGGGAGAAGAACAACTTTCCATGTTCCTGGGGATGATGCCCATGGTTGATAAGGCATTTTTCTCCATGTATTAGAATCTCTAAGGTCCAAGATGCTAGCAAAATTAAGACTTCTCAAAAGAGATATGTGGTGGTTTAGGCCATTAATCCTAGCATTTTGGGAGGCAGAGGCAGGTAGATCTCTTGAGTTCAAGGTCAGCCAGGGAAATATACTGAGACTGTGTCTCACAAAGACAATGGACTGTTTTGTGGACAGAAAAAAAATGTCTTCAGCAGTTAAGAGCACACATTGCTTTTCCAGAGGACCTGCGTTCAATTCCCAGGATCCACATCAAGCAGCTCATAATCACCTGTAACTCCAGCTCCAAGGGAACTTCAATAGGGCACTCGTGTGATCATACCCACATACAAACACAAATAACTTAAAATTATTTTAATGAAATTAAGATCTTTGGTTTTGTTCATCTTTTTTAAAATACTATTTTATGTGTATGTCTGTGAAGCACATGCATGCTCTGTGCCCAGAGAGGTGGGAAGAGAGCATCGGACCCTTTGGAATTGGAATTACAGACAGTTGTGAGTCACATGGGTGCTAGGAATTAGTTCCAGGTCCTCCAGAAGAGCAACAAGTGCTCTAAACGACTGAGCTGCTTCTGCAGCCACCAGTCTTGAAAGTCTTAACGTTGCAATAGCTAAATAGATGAAATCTTTAGTGAGGCTGAGCGTGAGCCAAAAACCGTCTCACCTTTTAGGCTATGCAAATCCACAATTCTGTCTATAACAAATGACCCTCTATTCTCGGCACTGGCCAAACATCTCTCCCTTGGATGCCTTGAGATTGATCCCTTTGTTCTACATTTCACGCTGTATTTACTAGGAAGATTATTCAAAGCTTAATCATAATGTGACATCAAGAAAGACGGAAGAACACTGTTTTAAGTGCTCAATATCTGGTACAAAACTGTTGGCAGATAACTCCTTTTCTCTGTATTTTTATCTCCAAGCTACAGTTTTCCTTAAGCAAGAGGCTGCTTAGACTGCTCAGAAATTACCTGTGGGGGATGCTCCCCCCAAAAAAACTAGAGTAGGATTGAGTTCAATGAGTCTGATTGAAATGGAACAGGGACACACGTGCTCAAAGCAAGGATAAGATTGGATCCCATGAAATACTTTTAGCAAGGTAACAGTTTTTTTGACAGTTTCTTACATAACTGTTTATTATACCAATGTCACATAACTTTATCAGTTTTCCTGCACCTAAAATGCCAGAGTGATTGTAGTGGACAGGGTGTGTTAAAGTTGGTATTGTATGCTGAGGTAAAATTAAAAAGTGATTGGGATGGTGTCTTAGTTGCCATGCTATTGCTGTAAAGAGACATCATGATCAAGGCAACTCTTATAAAGGAAGACATTTAATTGAGGGGTTGCTTATAGTTTTAGTTAGTCCATGATCATCATGTCTGGAAGCAGACAGGCATGGTCCAGGAGCAGCAGCTGAAAGCTTTACATCCTGATCCAAAGGCAGCAGACAGAGTGAGACACTGGGTCTGGTGTGGGTTCTTGAAACCTCAAATCCCACCCACTCACCCACAGTGATGAAACTCCTCCAACAAGGCCACACCTCTGAATCCTTCCCAAAGAATTCTGCTAACTGTGGGCCAAGCATTCAAACTTATGAGTCAATGGGGATCATTCTCATTCATGCTACTAGAGTAGAGCAGGACAGGTGGTTCAGTAGTTAAAAATACTTGCTGCTCTAGAGGAAGAGCTAGGTTTGGTTGCCATAACTCACATACTGGCTAACCACCACCTATAACTTCAGCTCGTGGGGATTTGATGCCCTGTTCTGGCCTCCTTGGGAAACATACATGCACATAAAATAAAGATAAATATCCTAAGAATGTATTTGGGGGGGCACGAAAGACCGCTCAGCAGTTAAGAACATGCCTTCTCTTCTAGAGGACTGGAGTTTCATTCACAGCACCCATGTGTCAGCTCACAACTGTCTGTAACTCAACTTCCAGTGGATCCAAGGGCACCAGGCACCCATGCAAACAAAACAGCTATACACATAAAATAAAACTTAAACACAACAAAAAAAGGGAACGTGCTCTTGTTATTGACACTGGAGGTAAAAGGCTCTTATGCAAATACTGCCTGATTCAGGAAGTCCACCTGGTACTTCTTTTGCCATTCCCCTGACTCTGTACTTGTCCTGTGAGCTTCCATGTGGGTGTTGGGAATTAAACCTGGGTTCTATGAAAAAGCAAGTGCTCTTAAACATGGTGTTGTCTCTCCATCACAACAATACATTATTATAAGCTCAACCCACAGGTTAAAAACTAAACATTTTGGTTTCCAGTGACAATCACAAAGTCTGGACAGGTCTGAAGCCCTGTGAAAAGTACCAGTGTGTGAGAAGCAAATGCCTGAGCATTTCCTTAAGTAAACTTGCAAACGCAGAGAATTTTAAAACTTTCTAAATATACCACCAGGGGTGAGTTTTAAATTTTTATTTTGTCATTTTTATGTATATGGGTATTTTGCCTGTATATATGTCTGAGAACCATGTGCATGCAGTGTTCATTAAGGTCCAAGTGTTTTGGACCCCCTGGAACTGGAGTTAAGACAGTTGTGAGCCTAGAAAACAGGAAAAGGTAGTTGTGAGACATCATGTGGGTGCTGAGAATTGAACCCAGGTCCTCTAGAAGAGCAGCCTATACTCTTAACCACTGAGCCATCTCCTCAATCCTTCAGTGGTGACTCTTAAACCTCCCTGCCTTTTCATGACAGAATTTTTTACATGGAGGTTAGTGATGACTATGAGGGGTATGGAAACCTCATTAATCACGGGATGATCTTAAGTGAGCATGAAGTGAGGCCTTTGGGAGGCATTCAGTGTGTGGAGAATGGATAGAAGCCCATTCTGAGAGCTCACATCTTGCTCATACAGAAGTGACCCGGGAGTGGCTTCCTCTGGGTACAAGAAGAGCTTTGATGTCTTTCCCATGGCTATTCAGACTGGGAAGAAGCCACAGTCATGTAATCAAAGTAAAAAATCTTTCCGCTATTTCTAAGCTTATCGTACACCAAAGATCACACAATGGGATGAGGGGCACCGTATGAGTATACGTTGGTGTTGGAAATCTTTCAGCCAGAGCTATGATTTTATTGTATGTAGATTAGAGGTTTCATACTGGAGAGAAGTTCTAGTAATGCAATCAGAGTGGGAAATCCTTCACCCAGATTTCTAAACTTACTAGGCATCAGTTAACTCACATAGGGGAAAAACAGGATAATAATTATAGCTGTAGAAAACACTTTAGATGGAACTCTATCCGTATTATATATCAGAGAGTTCATACTACAAAAAAACTATTTTTGTGTTGACTATGAAAAGTCCTTCAGGGCTAGAGATTTGGTTCAGCGATTAAGAACACAGGCTGCTTTTCCAGAGGACCTGAATTCAATTCCCAGCTTCCATGTGGCAGCTCACAACCATCTGAAACTACAGTCCCACAGGATCAAATGCCCTCATCTAGCTTCTGAGGGCACCAGGAACACACATGGTGCACAGCCATACATATAACTAAAACAACCGTACACATAAAAGTAAGTTATGAAAAAAAAGTCAGCCTAAGTTCTGACTTCATTGCATATGAAATGACACACAGAGGAAATCAATATGAGTGTAACCAATACAAAAAGTCCTAGGTAACAAGGAAGACCCTAAGAGGGATGCATGGATTGCCCTGGGAAGGGGAAGTAGATGAGATCTACTTCATAAACTAGGGGGGGAGAGGATGGGGAATGGGAACATAAGGTATCAGGATGGTTCAGCTGGGGGAGGGACAGAGAGGGAGAGAAATGAAAGAGATATCTTGATAGAGACGACCATTGTGGGGTTAGGGAGAAACCTAAT